TAAACAGTATGCACTGGCATTTCTATAACCACCAAAAGAGTCCCTCACTAATTCTTCCCATGAGGATTTTGTCACAGCAATATCATTGTACTTCATCCACCTGCTTTCATGATGATCAAAAATATATGCCCAGTAGTGCCCAGCATTAGCTTGGCCTTCATGAACTAAAACAGCATGTAAGCGATAAGGAACCTAAAAAAAGGAAAAAAAAAAAAAGTTAAGCTGCAACTATTAGTAGTCTAATAATACCACATTCTATGAAACCAAAAACTACCAATTTGAGAGGAAGCATGGATGCACATTTTTCTAATAGGTTAGAATTACAATCTTGAATTTAAAAAATATTAAACTATAAACTCACAAAAGAGGGAAATTAAAAAAGCTAAAGATACGTAAAATGTGTTGTTGCATATGAGAATGATTATCTGAAACTTTCAAAATACATTTGTTGTGTAGGTATTTGTTGATCTATTTATTTTTCTTGAATATAGAACTCAGGATGAAGTTTTCTATATAATACATGATTTTTCCAAAACTTCATAACTGGTGGCTAGCAAAATAAATTATATACTATATGCCAGAAGTTAAAATGCTTTGAGCTTTAGGGTTTCTCAACACATCCTGTATCCTTAAAACAATCACATATTTTTTCCTATAGAACTTTTCAAAAAAATTGAGATCTTTTGAAACTTTTTGATAAATTGTATTGTAAAACTATAAAATGTGTAAGCAGTAAGTTCAGAATAATACAACTTAATGGAGAAAACCTGTTATATAATTTGTCATGAAATTTTTCCCATTCATTTGTAATTAAAAAATGTACATCGTTTAGCCTTTTTGTTATTTTATAATAAAATTTATAACAAAACATGTAACAAAGAATTTAATTAAGATAAATAATGTAAACATAACTTAAAATACACGTAAGTAATTTTGATAATGATTACTAGCTAAAAATTTCACTTACTTGTATCATGGATTTGTCAGAGTACATCAGTTCAATTGTTCGATGGATTCTGGATATGCTTTCCTGCAAATCTAATGAGGCAAGGTGACATTTAGTGATTAACATCAAGTGTATTTCTACTGAAAATTATAATACCAGGATGAAAGTTTACCTATAAACATATTAGAGAAAAAAGTAAAATTTCTGAAACATTTCATAAAATGTTACTATCTGGATCTGTGTAAAATGAGATATAGTTCTCTTTCATAAAAGATATGTCACAAATGCACAGGGAAAAACCAAAGCAAATGTATTATCTAGAAAATTT